AGGCAATAACCCATATCCGAGTGTGACTCTAGCCTCTATGTACATTTCCATAACTATGAATAAAAGTTAAGAATCAACCTTTTGCTCCCTTACATAGGTAGAATGTTTCTGTTCAAAAAACATATACATCACATACTTTTTTTTTTTTACATAGAACATTTCTGACAGGTAATCATACTCTTTCAGTTGAAATAATTTCTAGATGGAACCATTAGACGTCTTTCAAAACAAATAAAAAACTAACCAACCAAATAAACACAAAACAACTCACAACTCTGATTAATATAATTTATAAGTAATAGGTAACATATGTATATATTGTATTTGGTAGGGTGATTCATTTAGTGAAAGAGTCTGCTATAGTGATATTAAATAAATAGTTAAAATTAGAAAACTAATATTCCCAATTATAGTATTAAGAAAAAATTCAGTTTGGTAAGTTTTGAAATTATCCAGTGCTTTTGGACTCTGATACTTTTTCAGGGAGAAAAACTGAAGCAAAATCACTAAAATAAATATACACGGAGTCTTCCCTTCTTCATTTTTTAAACAATATTAGAATATATACACACCTAAATAGTATATAAAGCAGCTAAGTGGAAAATACCAGAGTTTATTATTCTCAAGCTCATGCAGCTTTAATTGGGGAAAAGGAAGATTTTTTAAAAAGTAATTATGTACATTTCTAGCATTAATCTCTTTTAACCTTAGCTAATGGCAGGATCTAATTATTGGTACCAGAGGGAATGTAATAGAGCAATTAATAGGCTATAAGACATCAAGTTAGTTTCTTTATATGTCCTTTTATATTATTTCACAATATTAGAAACTCATGTAGAAGCCCTTTAATTCATCTAAAACCACTCCAAATATTACAACTTACATACCTGGACATTTTTTTAAAAAACATTTCATTTGATAATGACTATGTTATGTTTACATTTAAAATTTATTCTTAGCTATAAAATTTTGCCACATCTTGGTAAATACAACATGCTATCAGCGAAGGAACAGAAAAAACATCAACATTAATTAATGAAACAAATGACAAAATTGTCAGATTGTAAATTAGTGATAAGGTGGATGAAATAGATGATGGTGGTTAGCTAGGCTCACTCATAAAATAACTGACTCTTATATATAAACCAGACTAATTGCACAACTCAAATTTGAGCCTCAGCAAAATACAAATTTTTAAATGTCATGGATAGTCAGAGACATTCATGAAAAATGAATCCATGAATTTTCAATTTACATGTGCAAAGGTTCTGCTGTACTTTGTTTTGGAGGAGCAAAGGTAGATCCTAAATTCACCTACGAGAAGACACTCTAGGTAGCACAAATAAGTAAGGTTATTTGTAAATTTATTTCTTCTAGTCCAGATGATAACAGGTCCATGGTGGAAAATAAATTTCAAAAGCGTTATCTTAAGGTTTTATACTTTTCTCCCCATAATCATGTGACAAAGAAAAAGAGGTAGAGGAAGTCAGATGCATTTCACATTTATTCAGTATACTGAGTCAGGGCATTTAATTTGCAGGAGATAAAGGATGTATCATGGACCGCATGTCATATAACTCGGTATATTTAAGACCTTATCTTTGGTTTTTAGCTGTTTTACTGCTATGTATCTAGGTATATTTCTCTGTATGTTAATCCTGCTTGTGCTTTGCAGCACTTCTCTAATCTGTGATTCAATGTCTTCTATTAATTTTGGAAAATTATTAGCCATCATCTCAAATACTATTTTTCCCCACTCTTTCTCTCATTTCCATCTGACATGCAAAATACATACGTTCTGGGCCTTTTAAACCTATGTCTCTTTCACTCTTTTCTATCTTTTTGTCCTTTTGTGTTTCAGTTTAGATATTTTTCTATCAACCTATCTTTTAGTTCACTAATACTCTCTTCTGCTATGACTAATCTGCTAAAATGATTTAATGAGTTCTTAATATCAGCAAATTCTATCTTTTCAGTTCAGAATACCCATTTGATTCATTTTAATAGAATCTGGTTCTTTGAAAAATTTTCTCTCATCTATTTTATTGAAATTAAATCATTTAAATTTTTCAAATTCCTATCTAATAATCCCAATATCTACATCACTTCTGGATAACTGTTCCTCTAATTTGTTTTTTTTCCCCCTCTTGATTTTTAGTCATTTGGTCCTGTCTTCTGGTATATTTAGTAATTTTTAAGTGCCAAACACTGATACAAAAAACTGTAGAGGCTCCAGATGGTATATTCTTCCAGAGATGATTTAATTTTCTTCTGGCAAATGGGAAGAGATAGATCTTGATTCAATCAAGGATTGAGTTGTTCTAAGGTCTGTTTAAGACTTTCAAGAACTGGTAGATTTCCAGTTTGCCCTTCAGGGATCTCAAACAAAATCCTAGGGTGTTTAACAGGGCCTCCTTTTCATGATGTTCCCTGAACCCCAATTTTTGTGTCAAAGCCCCATAAGAATGTCAAAACTCTGTTTAATACTTTAGAGCCTCTTGGCAGTTACTTTTAGCTTGGTTTCTTAGCCTTTTATTCCAGAGTTTAGAACTTGCTCAGTACTTTGAGGATGATTTTGTTTCCCTAGCTCAGTGAGACGACTGACAGTTCTAAGCTTGTATTTTCTGTTTGGCCTCTATGCCTTATGGCATGAATCGGCAAATGCTAAATGAAAAGAGACAGAGAAAGACTGGCTCTCCATATCCATGTTTCCCTTTTCTCTGGAATCCTAGACCCTCAAGTCCTTGCTGCCTTAGTTGCCTCTAGTGCCTTCAAGCAGCTGTTGTATTTTATCCAGATTTTACAGTTGTTCTTGATGGGTGGCCTAATCACTAGCTATATTGTCATAGTCAGAAACAGAAGTCTCTTCAGTCATATTTTAGTCATATATAAAAATCCACTAAAACAATGTGATTCTGAGATGGAAGAAATTCAATAATGTCTAAAAGGAAAAATAACCAAATGAGTAAATATTGTTACCTGAGGTTAAAATTAAGAGATACTTTTTAAAGCTAGAAGACTTTTCAATTTATTTTTAACAATCTGAAATATGGACTACTTTATGTAAATATCAAGTGAAATACTTGAACTTTTTCAAGATCTCCCTTTGAAAACATAAATCCAGTACCTCACTCATTCAGAGCAATTTACCATAAGTATGCTTAAATATGAATTGACAGTCTACTTACAAGAAATAAAAAAGAGCTGTAGGAAACAAAGTATAAAGATGACCTTATATAAACACAGAGACTGAGCCAGTTTATGTTTAATTGTACCTTGTTAATTTTCGTTTCCTTTTGGCAGCAGCAGTCATCGCCATGTAGGACGGCACTATGCTTGGTACGGGCATAGAATGCTGAGCTGATAATGAAGAAGGGTCAAGCCTGTATATTGAATAGTGAAAAATACAAAAGAATAAATTTGATTTATACTATGGAGAAAAAAGGGGACAAACATTTCCATAATTAGAAAATCATTTGGTATTAATGCATAAAGAAAAACATTCTTCTCTACTATAAAGCTTCTCTTCTTTGTCCTGGAGTTTCCTTTTCTCTTTTTAACACCATAGATAGAGTTGCTATGAAGAGATTTCTGCATTCCCAATGGCATAGAAAAGTAAACGAATGTTTCTTTCCATATTTAGATTGGGTGTGATTATGTACCATGAAATGAGAAGGATAGGTTTGCTTCAGAGTAAGTTGAGGTTTGCTAAACATCAACAGAAACTGTGGAATTTCCTTCAGTGATGATATTAATGAATAATAACGTATATGATAATCCTTCAATGATGGCTTGTTTTATCTAACTTTGGAGTAAGAAGAATAAACTAAATATATCTTAAGGTCTCTCCTAGTCTAATGAGGGTCAATTGACTTAAGATATCAAATTTAAGACTTTAAAATATTGTGTTAGTCAGAGAGAAAGATAATTAGGATTTAATGAAAGTAAAACACTGTTTTGTAATCAAATAGCACACACACTTGTTCTATGAAATAGACTTCAAATATAGCTAAAAAAGAAAAAGAAAGTCAATAGTTTGAAGGCTATATTGAAGAAAAAAAAGAATTGGCAAATACTCTTTTTTTTTGTACCGTTGTAAAATGTTTCTGTTGTCATTTGGTAGAGATTCTTGCTCAGAAAATTTACTCTTCACGCTCCTGGTGTCTTCACATATAGTAAATGTTGAGTCTAAATTCTCCTGTTCACATTCTGTTCCCCTGTTAAGATGGGTATCTACGTCACACAACATATTCAGAGAATTATTACTGTTTATATTTGAGCTGACAGCCTGAAAACTTGTAGTATGAGATGATGGTTTCATTAAGGTCACTGTAGACGGATTTCGAAAAGCTTTTCTACAGTCTTCTGGAGTATACACGATAGGTTGAAGCTCTTTGCTGAGAGAATCATTGAGCTGCATACTTTCAGACAGTGTGGACTTTTCAGTATGTTGTGCTTTGAAGGGAGAAGGCATTAATTTTCTCCGAGTTCTTTTTTGTGGAGGAATTTTTAGCAGATTAGATTCACTTGAAGATGTGCCTGTTCAACAAAATTAAAAAGATGCTCAATAATACTAAATATGAGGTACTTTTATGTAAATTGATAAAAATATGAAAGAAAATAAATTGGAAAGGAAAAAACATGGTTTATTGCTAAACATTTTAAATAAATTTAATAAACTCATTATGAAGAGATTCCATAACAGAAAATAAAAATAAAATTGCTAATATCAATACTAATTTATAGGTACAGCTATCTTGAGATATTGGGTAATCAGAAAACAAATTTCCAACCAGTTCCAACAAAATTCACAAGCAATTTCCAGTTTTCACATTTGATTTGAGTTTAAGATAACAAAAAAGTATTCAACATTTGTAGGCACAGAGATTAACACTTGCTATACTGTAAAATATCACAAATTTATTACTAAATGAGTGGAAGCCTAATCTAAATTAATAAGAATGTCAATAATCAGTAAAATTCCAGGAGAATGAAAGAATTGTATATTATGATGTCGGGTATGTACATACAAATTGGCCCTTGGTAGCTGTGGGTTTTGCATCCATAGATTCAACCAACTACAAATTGAAAATATTCAGATAAAAACAATAAACAATAATACAACAATAAAAATAAAACCAAAAATATATAGTATAACAATTATTTACATAGCATTTACATTGCATTAGATATTATGAGTAATCTAGAGATGATTTAAAGTGTACGGCAGGATGTGCATAGGGTATATGAAAACATATTGCCATTTTATTTAAGGGACTTAAGCATCTGTGGATTTTGGTATCCGTGGGGGTTCCTAGAACCAACGTCCCCATTCCCAGGGTACTGAGAGACAACCATAACTAATTAAACATTCTAGTTGTTTGTCTCCTCTATCATACATAACTCATAGGTTTGTAAAAAATAGATTTAATAGCAAAGATAAATGAACATAATTCAAAGAGTTCAGAGAATTTTGACCATTACCAACCTGCAAAAGCCAATCTCCCATATGTCAAGAGGTCACCAAGTTTGAGGATCTTTCTTTTTTTTTATTTCAGCATATTATGGGTGTACGGATGATTAGGTTACATATGATGCCCTTCCCCCCACTCCCCTGAAGTCTGAGCTTCAAGTGTGTCCATTCCCCATTGAGGATCTTTCTTAAGTGTTATCCTAAAACTTATGTAGCTTTTCAAAATTATACGTCTACTTCTCCAACATCTGTGTTATTCTCTTCTTCCTCTACGCAGGAAACATACACATTTTCCTAAGGAGCCATACTTGACCCTACAGTTGTCTTATTCTATATACACTCTCGTATTTCTAATTATCCTTTTACCATTACCTTCTCAGTCACCTGGGTCCCAAATAACTAGATTTTTTACCTTTTCCATTTCCCTTGAATTTCCCAACCTCTACCAATCTCACTTTTATTACACTTACAGTTAAAACATAATTCTGATCATGTTATCTTTCTTTCTTTTTATTTTTTGGATTATGTTGTTATCCTTCCAATCAAATACTTTTAGTAATCTTTACACAGAAACATAAGATCCAGACATTTTTAGTAGGGGAACTCTTGGTCCTTGGTTCAAAATTAAGAGGCAATTTTTTTTCATTAGAACTTGAGTATGAATTATTAAATATCATAATACTAAATTTAGTATTTAATGCTTATTATTTAAAAACACAAACACCTATTAAATACCTTTTATTAATGCCCAAAATAATGAATTGACTACATATGTAAAATAAACCTCATCAACTCCAGTGTGCTTATCTTAAATTTTTAACTTTTTTCTACTTTGCCTACTTTATTCTGGTAAACTTCTTGGTGCCTGACATGAAGTGCCTTTGCTTGGTGTTACAGTCCACGGAATAAAGTATAAATGTGTATGTCAGCCCATATTTTTAAATCATAAAGTAAAATTTCCAGTTGATATTTATTTTATTACATAATACTAACTTAAATAACACTGAAAGCAGTAGAAAATAAGTACTATGTATTTCAATAAAGCAATTCAATCAAGTTGGAAAATACACTTATAGCAATCACCAACAGTACCTGCATTATTCTTATTATGTTAGTTGACAATAGACTCTGCTACGGCTAGGTTGACAATTACCCTCTAGGAAATACAATTTAAAAACAGGAAGAAAAATATGATCCCTGTTCTACTAAGGAATTTTACTTTTCTGAGAACTAGATAAATGAGATCCAGATCTTAAAATAATTTTCCACTCCCTTTAACATGACATTTGTCAAATTTTCCATTACTAGATATTTTTATACTAATGCTGCAGTGTAAAGACAGTTACTTTTCTCCACTGTGCTTCTACCACCAATTTGGTGGCTATTAATAGCTGGAAGATTAACTTCTTTTCCCATGAGAGGCAGCAGGAGTATAGAGGATAGAAAACTACATCGAGGATAGGGAACTGAATTGGGAGTCAGGAGACTTGGATTCTATTTCTGGTTCCACCAATGACTCGCTGAGTGACCTTGGGCAACTCACTTAAATAGTGTGGGCATTAATACCCCCTAGGAAAAAAGATATTACCCTTTTATGTACAGGGAATTTTCTAAGATTAAACGATAAAAACACTTAGGGTGCAAAGAAAGGCTCTAGAAATACAAATATGCTTCAGTTGTTAGCATTACAACTTTCACCTGAAAAGTTATAATTTACTTTCTAATCATTAATAACTAAAATTCACTTATCTCTAAAACAATACATTTCAAACAATGTCTCACTTTCAGTTTATCAGATACCCAGTTTATCAAGACTGATGATAAAGTGTAATATAAACTAAAAGTATCACTAAAACAGGCATATATAAGTGTTATTTGCAAATATAGATTTCATAATGACATTCTAAAATTGAGAACACAATGGAATGTGAAATCTCAAGTGGTAAGGATTATATAGAGTCATTACTTTTTTTGCACATATCTAGAGGGGATCATCTCTGGGAGTGGCAACTGGGCATCACATTTGGTATGATCAGACTAACAATTTGTCAGTGAAAAGAATAGTAATGTCACAATGATTTATCTTTAGCCATAATTCTGCTCTCCTGGCAGGCTATGATAAACTGAAAGAGAAACACGGAAATATGATAGTTAATATGTACTAACATACAATTGTCTTACTGGGCCTAGAAGAAGAGATGCAACAGACACATATCATATACAAAATCCAATTCTAAAGGTTTTTTTTTTCCTTTTTATTCTCTCAATTATTAAATTCAGATAAAATAATAAGAAGAGGGCCGAAGGCAGATGGTCAATTCAGGACTGCCTAGGCTGACTAGCTGCTAGGAAGGATTCAGGAGATAATTAGAGCAAAAACAAAATTTTAAAGTTTAAATAAAAATTCAACAGTCAATCCTCTGTAACTGTAAGTATAAAAGGATAATGACTCTACTTATTAATAAAAACCAAAAGAACACAATAAACTGACATTTCACTTTGAATATGATTTTTAGAATATATAAATATAATTATATAACAAATAATTATTCTCCTTTAGTTAAGTTAAGTAATAGAGTACCTTATGTGGGAATGGCAACTGGAGAGTGTTGGGGTGGGATATCATAGAGTTTAACAGGCTACAAGAACTATTAGATATGCTAGGTTTATGCTTATAAGAGATTTGCTGTACTTTTCCATTAGAGAAAAAGGGTATACAGTAAGTTTCCAGAAGAGCAGGAGTGGGACACTGTACAATTTCCCCGATTCAGCTTGGGAAAATACTATCTAACAAGAGTCCATAATTCTTGTGCCTACACAGTAGAAGTGATATAGAAGGAATTTGAAGGCAGACCACAATTCCTTTAGAAAGTTTCCATAAAATGAGAAAAGGAATCATGTAGTTGTAGGCTGTCAGCACAAGGGACCCTAATAGATGATGATAGTGAACTCTCCTAGCAATGTGGGTACTACACAGGGGGGAAGCAGGAAATTAAAAATGCATTGTTGTAAGGCATGCTGTTGCAAACTGGGATAGGGAAGATTGGCTGCCACTTGGGAGGTAGCAGGGCTTCTTTCCAGGGTCTATTTAAGGAACAAGCCCAGTGCATCATATACTTGTATATAGGAGGTAATGGGTAGCAATGTATCTTATGGTTTCTGAATAATTTTGATATTTCTATATCATTTTTTAGGACTATAGCTCCCCAACATGTTGTAAGTGTACTGCATTTCAATTACTCTGAAATGGTTATGACCCATGGGATATAAGCAAATAGAGCTTGTTGCATGTTAAGACATTTAAATGAAAAAGATCACTACTACTATTTTGAATCCAGGATCAATGTTTGTTTAATTTATGAAAGGAAAAAAAGTTGCAGTAGCTATGGTACCAGAGTAACAATCTAAGAGGACTATACCTGCATAAAAAGAATTCACTGTTCATCTAATATTTGTTAAGCTCCTGCCATACTAGTTAAAGCAGTAAATAAGGTAAGAATTTACATTTTTTGAGGGAAAAAGGCAGATGACAATAAACAAAATAAATTAAGATGATGATACATGAGTTATAAAGATAATAAAACAGAGAAATGGAATACACGGTGATGGGGGATAGTGGGGTGTTTTAGCTATGATGGCCGGGAAAGCCATTCTGAGGATGGTATATGTGATCTAAGACTTGAAAGGCTATGAAGGAGCCAGTTCTGAAAATCTGGGGAAAGAAGCAGAGAAAACAACATGTACAAAAACTTCATGAATTTGTTGAGCTGCAGGATAAGAGAGGAGGCTAGTTTAATTGAAGTATAGTAAGTTAGAGAAAGAATAGAAATGAGAAGAGTCTAGAGAGATCAAAACAGGCCAATTTATGTTAGGATTTATGGACTAGATAAGAGTTTGGATTTATTCCAAGTACAAAGGGGTATCTGTGGAGGATAAATAAGTATGGATATGATGCGATCTGGCTGTTTAAGAAAAAGATTGCTTTGCTTGCTGTGTGGAGAATGGAATATGAATGAACAAGAGGGGAAACAGGGAAAACAGTAACAAAGTTATTGCTATAGCTCAG